ACTAAAATAATAGAAATAAAAATTAAAAAAATTAGCGTCATCTTTTTTTTTTAATCTTTTCTCTCATTTTCTTCCATGTCATTAAAAAATTATTAGGGCCTCTTTGGATGGTATCTGTGTCATGGTGATTTGCACGTTTGAAAATAAAATTTTATTGACTTTTATCAAGAAACAATATCTAATTTCATCTAAATATTGTACCCCATGTGATTGATGGAAAAATATTCAGTAGTTCACTCTCTATTTCGCCCTCTCTCTTCTCTTCTCTCCCCTCTTTCCTCACATTCTTTTCTCCTCCCAGTACATTCGACCGCGAGCTCTAAATATCCTCTCGCATTTAACATGGTTAATAACTATTTCTAAGTTCTAACCACTAAATAAATTACTTAAGCTACAATCCGTAGATGAAATAAGCCAAGAAGACAAGCTTGTCATATCATATTGACTCACCGAATATTGAATAAGAAAAGGATATAATAATTTATCCTATCATATCTCTACCGTTACGTGCAGTCGTGCACAAAATGGGGCCATAATTGTTCACAATTAAGAGTTTATTTTGTTTCCATTCTATATAAAATTAATTTTTTCATACTAATAAAAAAACTTGTCTTTGTGATAATCTAGATACAAATTCTTAACTATTAATGTCAAAATCTTCAATAATTAGCAGCAGTGATGACTATTTAAACTTGAACCAAACAAACATGAGGAAGAAAATCGAAGTACCAATTTCTCAAGAAAATGAAAGAGTCCATTTCTTTCATTATAGTAAAACAATCTAGACTTCCATAATTAAACATAGTCACAGATTTCCAGACAATAACACTACAGCAGGTGCTTGATGATGTTGATATCCTAACACCCTTTCTGAGTGTACCTGCACACCCAAGTCCACACACAATTTTGCCAAATCACCTTTGGAGCTTTCAATCTCTTTCTCTGTCTCAACCAATTTGATGCTTAATTCTTGAACACTCAGCTCTAGGCTCCTCTTTTCCTCCTCAAGCTTGTTAACTTTGTTCATTTTCTCCACATAGCCTTTCATGTTCAGTGCAAACTCAACCTGGGGTGCAAGCCAAGACAAGTCAAACCCAAAGACCTCAACTTCATCCCACAATTGTTGAAGGCATTCACATGCCTCCTTATTCATTTCTGCCACCTTTGTGATCTCAAGGAAGTGCAAAACCCTGCCAAGTGCTGTAAAAGCCCAACCTGCATACATGGGGGTCTTGTTCCTTTGGTACTCTATTAATGTAGGATGAATATGGAAAACTTCTTCTAGCCAAGGAACATACACCATATCTACTAATCCCATCTCTTTGTAATCCACTTGTTCTCCATTAACTTCAAAATTAACTAACATATTAGCTTTAATTCCAATAGTAGCAGAATCTGCTACTGGAGAATCTGGAATTGGAGGAGCAGAGGGATCCTCAAAAGGAACCAGTGGAAGGAGACTCATATGATCAAAATAACCATTGTGCTCAGTATGCTGAGGATCAAAATCATTGAAGACAGTTTGCACTTGGTCCTTTCTCTTCAACTTAAAAAACGCTAATACGTCTTCATAGGCTCTTCTTAAAACGATTCCTCTACATTTCATTGGGGAATCTAATGAAAAAAGCTGGCCTATTGATAACATCATCTTCTATAGTAAGGAAAAAAAGAAGCAATCAATGCATCATACAACATATACCAAAAAATCATACAATATAACTAAAAGTTGACTACATTAATCAAATTAATAGGGGGTGGATATATAAATTCTTGTTCATAAGGGTCGGCTTTGTAATCTTTATTATACGATATAATCTCACCCCACAATCTAGAGTTGTTAGGGACAAAAGTTTATGGCAGTTTTAAGGAAACATTATATCACTGGTACTTAGCTGCAGAGCTTTTCCTTTCCTCACCTTGAATATTTAAGAAGTGTGATATACAATGATACAAATCTGCAACCTTCTCATGCTTTTCAAAAATTAGTTTATGGGGAGAGTGAAAAAAGATAGCATTTCTTAGAAAACAGATGAAATTTGAAATGCCCTCTTTTTTTTTTTGATAGGAAAAATGAAAAATCTGAAGTTCATTGATGAACATAATTATCAAGGAGAATTGCGTTGAGGAGAAAATCAATTAATTGATATTACCATTTTGAGGACTTCATCATGTCAGCTAGAAAATAATATTCAGAAAGAAGAACTTGTTTGAAGTTTCTGAGAGCTCCCAATCGAATTATATCATGAAGGTTCGTGTTATCTATTGCTGGTGACCAACACTGTTGCTCAGGTGTTCACGAAATCAACAAATGCCTAAGCATGATATAGTCAATCACACTGCTACCTTCCATGTACAATGTCTTTCACCTAACATAATAATAATAGTAATAAAAGAGTCTGAGAGTGAAAGGTTAATCAAAAGATTCAAAACGTTAGATGTGATTATAGTGGTCGTGTATCCAAAGGAAAATGCTACCTTTTCAAAACAAATTCAATGGTTGTTTAGATAAACTCGAAAAAACTTGTCATGTTTAGGGGACTACAACCACTTGACTTGGTGCATTGGAAAAAGGGATTCGAATTTTACAAATCTATACAATTATTTTTTATTTTATTAATCCAACGAATTGGGCATATAAGTCGTTTTTAATTAAAAATTTTAGAATTCTTAATCTTCCATTTCATACTTGTCCTACCAATTTTATGAGACGTTAGTCTTATTAACGTGGGATGGTTTTCTTATTCATTCAAGGTTGGTGGTGTCAACAATTTCTTCTTCTTCTTTTTGTGAATACTAAATACGTCTCATTTTTCTTGCAATGAACAAAGGATCATGCATTAGTTGAATAAAATTTTGATAATATGCTGCAACTGTTAAGAAATGACATGGCAATTTACAAGGATACATCAAGTTATACAAATCTAATTTACATGAACCGAAATCGAGATGCATCTATGGGCTAGTATTGCATAAAAGGGAACTACACAACATGTTGGGGTTTTATTAAAAAAAAAAATCAGGTGAATTAAAAAATTAAGACCTGAATAACCCATGTCTCAGTGCTTATGATGGTGTATCGGTCGCTTCTTTCTGTGATAGACTTAACTACCTTCTTAAAAGTAATTTATGCTCCAAGAAGGAAATATTCTACTGATCGCACTCGGTGTTTGATTTTGCTTATATCATTTGGTAATTTGAAAACAGTGAATTGAATTACTATCCATTGTAGTTTTTTTTATTTTTATTGAGAAGTACTTCAAATTCAAATACAAAAACTTATGCAAAACAACATTAATTTGTGCTACAAAAGTAATCTTCAGTGCAATTAACATATGTAACAAGTGGGCATTTGGTCTAGTGGTATGATTCTCGCTTTGGGTGCGAGAGGTCTCGAAATGCCCCTTTTAATGAAATTTTCCATGTTCACGGAAGAAAGCAAATATATCTCTAGGCGTCTTGAAGGTTTTGTCCAAGTACACTTATCATTTTTCTGCAAACTGGCTCAGTTCATTTACCCATTAGCCTAACAAAAAATAGTAGACCCAAACCACTTGAAGTAACAACTCTGATTGTGAATGTTGTTTCTAATTTGACTGGCACAAAGTGATGAAACAAACGTGTATTCGTAGCCAAAAGTTTTGTATAGTTTCGGCTCTTTGATTTTATGATTGTTGCCCTGTCCCCGTTTCATTTTTGATCAAGTATCATAGCCCGTTCTTATTTATTTGGATTCCACTGAAAATTTGAACTAGATTTCATGGAATCCGTTGCAGTATTTTTCACCTCTATGCACTAATTTTACTTTTAATATCGAACTTGAATAATCCCTCAGACCTCAACCACAATAATATTTCATTTTTTGTCAATTGAGTTGCTCTCGAGTAAAGGTTGTGCTGTGTATGACCGTTAAGATTAAGGGCTTTACTTCTCTCATATAGTATGAGAGATAAATGAAATGAGGCCCATCAATTTAAAAAAAAAAAGCACATCTTATTATGTGAGTGTAACATGAGAGATGAATCTCATGTGACATAAGAGTATAATTTCTCTAAGATTAAATGGAATTAAACTATATGCTTATTTAAGAAAGCATTATATCATTAGATTATAAGGGAGTGTTTCATAGAGAAAATATTTTTTTTACAGGAAAAAAAAGATTTACAGGAATATGAGAGAATTTTTTTTTTTTCGGAAATTTTATCAAAAGGTTGTTTGGTATGGCCAAATTTTTTCGAGAATATTGAGTTATTTTTCTGATGCTATGTTTAGTTGATTATAAAATATTGCTGGGAATGTTGAATGAAATTACAAAAATACCCATTTGTTTGAATATATCATCTGTTTAATCTTTTCCCAAGGCATGACAATTTCGTCCAACAATTTGCTTTATCATTTCCCAATGGGTGGAAAAAAAATATATATCATGAGTCAGATGGTATTTTTCTTTGGTAAAGTGTTGGTGTTAAAATAAATGATGAGAAAAAAATAGCTGAAAATATTTAAAGAATTTGCATACCAAACATTGGCAATTTTTTTCCCCACTCCTAATTTTCGGGAAAATCCACGCAAAATCTGCATACCAAACGCCCTCTGAGATCATTTGGCTAACACAAAAAATTTCATAGTTTATTTACAATTTTAGTCTCCTATATTTCTAAATGCATGATTTTGACCTGATGTATGGATTTGAATTGTAATACTTTAAAAACTATAACTGTGACATTGAAGCAATTGAAACCAAGAGATCAAAATGGGGCAGCTTGCAAAATGTAAACAACTTGGTGTAATTAAACAAAAATTGACGCAGTTCTCTCTCAGTTTATTATGCCATTAGGCGTTAGCATACTAGAAAGTTATATATCATAAATGTGATCCAGAGACACACTACAACTCCATAACTTAAAATCTGTTCACTTATATAAACAATCATATCAGCAATTTTAGTACACATCAAACTAATAAGCACAAATTATTCTTATCAATGTAATATTGTGTAATAATTAGAACAATAGAGCGCCCCCCATTAAGATCAAAGCAAGCCCCATTGGAACATTACTGGTAGCCTTCATAGCTGCTTTGCTTTCTTCAGCCTGGAGGTGCTCAGCCACATTGAAATTCCCTGCATGAATGCAATCCCCATTTATCAAAAGAAAAAAGGAATCAATAAAACATGCATTAATCCCCAATCACTATGTGCAATTAAAATTAAGCCATATTACCTCTTTCAGGGCCATAACCACATCCAGCTTGAATTGTTTCTTTGATATCCTGTATGGTTGCCTTGTTATAAAATATGAAGTTGCTGAAAATGTTATCAATGCAGCTGAGGACCAAATTTGTCTCTGACAGACAAGGTCCTTCACAGAATTCATCAGTTTTCTGTGCAGGCACGTTCAGGTTTCCATTCTGGTTCAATCTACACGACTCTTCACAGCTGCTATAAATCTGAGACTTGGCCAAAATAATAAACACCATAAAGAACATTCCCACTTGAAAACACTTCAAGCCTCACCTTGAAAGGAAAAAAGAAAAATCAGTTTGTGGATATGGTACTCACATATTTATCATTGAAACAAAGCAAGGCTTTGGAGACAATTTGAGCAGGGTCACCAAACACAGCACCACCAGCACCTCCACCACCTCCAGCCCCATTACCACCACCACCACCACCACCAGCCCTATTACCACCACCAAATCCAGCCCCAGCCCCAGCCCCAGCACCAGCACCAGCACCACCAAACCCTGCACCTGTCTGTGTCTCTGGCACATCACCATCAGCATTTCCTGACAAATTAATGCTTAATGGGATGAGCAAAAACATGCAATTTGTACACACAAAAAATTGAACTAATCTATATTCTGGTTATTTACATACCAAAGTTTTTCCAGAATAGACAAACGTAAAGGAAAGCAAAGGCTAAAATCCAACGTTTGACACTGTCTCGGAATGCCATTATCGAAGCTTGTGGATGATTTCAACTACATATTAAAAAAGAGTTGAAATGTAACACATTATATAGCAATGCAATTAATGTTACCCACGTTTGCACTACACTACTAGAAGTAGTTAGTTGCTAAATTCCATGCTAAATTTCCAATTCAAGCGACCAACATTACCCACAACTACTAATCAGTTTTCTTAATCAAGTTAACAAAGTGAGCATGCTTATGAATATTCCTGATCCTTGCATGTTTTTCTAATCAAGCTTAACCCCCCACAAGCTAAAAGGTTCAAAATAATTAATTGAAATAAATGAGTTTTGAAGGTGGCACCCAATAATGGGTGTATAAGTTGGGTGAATTTAATTAGAAAGGGAAACCTGTCAAAGGATTTGACGCAAGTCTCGGTTAAAATTTAATGAGCTAGAAAATAAGGACAGGTAGCAGTTGAAGTGCAAGCCACCAACTTCTCTCTCTTTTCAGTCCAATAAATCAAACCTAAATTAGTTTCACTTGCTTTGCAATACTTTCTTTACAAGCTAGCTAGGTTAACATTTGTTGAAGTGGAAAAACACATGCATTTATTCATTTATTAACCACACGTTTTTCATTTGCGGTTTCAACATATTGCAAAACTTTTGAATATATTGAATTAGCGAATTGTAAATTATCAAAAAAATATATAATGCACTAACTATACAGAGTAGTTCCTCAAAGTTTCCGGCGTAACAAATGAATGCAAGTAAATAACACACAGTTAATAATGTGTTCATAGGAATCAAATATTTAATTCATTTTCTTGTCTCTCCGTCTAAATGTATAAAAAATGGTTAAATTACTAGGTTCATCAGTATAGTTTAAATTTTGAGTTTTGTCTTTATAATTTAAAAGCATTTAACCAAATTCATATAGTTTTGAAATTCTATAATTAAGTTCTTAAATGCTAATACTCTGAGGTCTGCTAAGTCTTATTGACTTGGCATCTAATACTTGACAAATATTTAAGTATCCGAAATGCTGAAGACGCAGTACATCACTTGTTAGAGTTGGAAAAAAAAAATCCACTAATTATATTTATTTTGTCAATTCCTTTATAGTTAAATCTCTATTTTACCTATCCACCAAAAAAAAAAAAAGCCCTATTTTACCTACTTTTAGTTAATATAAATTGTAGACTCAGTCATTCATAACTTGCTAAAGTTGAAAAAAAATCATTAATTATATTTATCTGTTTGGTACAAACTGATTATATTTATTTTACTCACTCCTTTATAATTAATGTTACATGAGTCCCAATTTTTTCCTAATTTAGTAAAGGAATACTTATTTCTCACACATGATAAGGATGTACGACGATGCGGCAATCACTTGCTATTATGGAGAAATCATACACGCTCTTAAAGTATCTTACTCTATTCATGTTCTGCATTTTATAGTTTTATTTGAATTTTTTTAAGTGTAATCCTAAAGATTTAACATTAACTTATGAGAGTCTTAATGATAAATTTAGAAAAAGAAAATCTTATTCAAATTATATTTGAATTTTGATAAGGATTGGAAACTTAATAAAGAGATAAAGGAGTTAGATACCTAAGGATGGGAAAATAATTGAGGCACATCTTCCATAAATATTATGAGAAAACTAAGATAAACGAAAAATTATTGAAGTTGTTATGTTAAGAAAAAGACAAGATAAATTTATTGAATAATGTGTTCTCTCACTTTTTTAATATTATATAATTTATCTTTTTCTTAATATAACAACTATTCATTTGTCATGTAACATGACAAATGCATTTCTTTTATATTTTATATTTAATTATTAATTAAATATAAAAATTTCCCCCATCATATAGAGGAGAACCATATTAGAAAGAAAATTAGACATCTGGGGAAGCCCCAAGATGAGATTTATTATTGAGAAACAAGAATTCGGAGTTTGAAATCAAAGAGAATGAGATCTGTGAAGAAATTCGGCAATCCACATCATCTTATTTACTTTTTTTGCTTTGTGAGAAGATATTCATGTTTTGTTCTGTATTTTTTTATTTCATGTGTCCTTTAAGAGACTAGATCCCTTTTTCTAGCAAAAGGATGTAACTCTTCGACTCTTGGGACGAATGCTTGATTTATTCTTATTAATGTGCAATTACTTTTTCTTGATTCATTCCTTCTTCTTCTTTTTTTCTAAATGTCTACAGTTTGTTGCTCGATATATTTCTTTTGCGCTGAAATTTAGTTTCAAACGAAGTTTTTAGTCATATAATAACAGTATATACAATGATTAAGATATAAGTTACTAGAATTGGTATAATGATGATGGATTTGTGTTGTTTATATTAGATTATATGTTCAATTTTCATCAATATATCAAAAAAAATAAAATGATTAAGATATAAGCTGGAAAATTTCACACCCTAGTGAACATTTTCTCCCGATATAATGAAATTGAAATGATCGATGGAGCGTTACTCAATTGATATTACCCTACTCTTTAGGTCGAACCTCCTTGGAAAAAACAAAAAGGAGTTGAAATGGAGATTTATTAAACTGCTAATAATTGAAAGCATCAAGCAAATTGTAATATACATCAGATCAGGAACAACTTGAGATTTGAAATATTAAAATTGACTGAGCAAATCATTGTTCCACTTATTAAATCGACTCTCCCTGCATTATAATGGATGTAAAATCAATTAATACATGCATAGAATGATTAGAAAAAAATAAGTTAAAGTGAGACTAATAGTACTACATATGATGTAACTCACGGAATTATCTCAGCCAGATGTGCATGCAGGTCGTCTTGGGGGAAGCTGCTGATGTGGAGTTCTCTGTTTAGAAAACAAAAACATATACTTAAAGGATTTTATAAGAGTTATGTTGTAGGAAAAGTGATTGCGTAATGTTATAGAGATTCGTTTTGCGTGCCGTAGTTTTTTTTTTTTTTGTTTCAAAAAGTGTGGGCCCCCACAAAATGTTGTGTGTGTAGGAAACTTTGTTGTGTCATGTTAAATGATAAATGCAAACCTCATATTTAAAATATATAAGGGGGGAAATGGATAAATATAAAATAAAAGATAAACTCTTTTAAAAAATAAATTAAAAGTAATTCGTTAATATTAAAACTCTAAAATATGTACCTGTAGTTTTGGTTGCAGGGTTTCTACGGCTGCTGTGGATTGTTGATTTACTCCAACACCTTGCTGTTGAGATTAGATACCAACAAATTATAATTACTAGAAAATGAGCAGGTTTTGATTTATATATTTTACTATTTAATTTATTTCGAGGGTTTTGAATAATATCAGGAGATGTTCGAGTTTAACATTGTAAAATTCAAATATACCTTGCATAATGCCCAGTCTGCTGAATCAAAGAATGCCCTTTCATGATCCTTTTAACCCCAAAGACAAATTAAATTAGATTCAATTGGACCTTGTGAATGAGAAAGTAAAACATGGATGTGCCATTTTAGTATATGGGCTTACTTTTGATATCAAAGGCTTCTTCTTTGGGACAAGCCCACCGTACTTCTTTCCCGCTGATGTTGGCTGATATTAAATTGTTAATCCAACCAAAAGAAATAAAAGAGAATGTTATATTAGAAAATTCAAAGATGTTATAGTGTTATTATACTTTGAATTTTAGGGTCATATCTCTCCAACCACCAAATAAAATTGTGGTTAAATGAGAAAAATCATGATCATCACCACATATTTGTTAGTTCAAGAAAAAGTTATTCAACAGTCAATGCATGCTTAATGGGAAACGATTTTACCTAAGATGTTATGCGTTTGAACCCTTCATTTGAATATGTAAGAAAATAGTGAAGAAAGTTCAAATTACATTTTTTGTCAACCAAGACTAGATGTTCTAGTTTGCTTTATATAAAACTAGTCTACACCAACTCATATGTACTCGAACGACTTCATGAAATGCTGCTGAGAAAAGATAGCATTTGACTAATTCTTTAGTTAACCTAATTAGAACCTAATCTACCCTTTTATATCATCAAATTTTAAAAAGAATATGCAACTCAAAATAATCGCGCAACTGAAAAAGAAAATCTTTTTCCTCCAATATTATATATGTATATGCACACACGCGAGAGAGAATATTCGAGAAGACATTAATTACATTTATTTAAAAAAAAATAAAAAAAATCAATGATGACCATGGGAACCTCATGTTTGGGAGGAAACAAAGTTCACATGATTTGCTTGACAGCCTAACGGTTAGGCTTGTTTTGTTTTGCATAGTGAGTTTTATAAATTATTTTGTGGCATCGTTTTAGGTAGGGACCCCTTAAAACCTTATGACCGACAATTTTGGAGCTCCCACAAAATATCTTCTCGCTAAAATCTCTCATCCAATAATTATTTTTTTTTATAAATATATTTTGAAAATTGTACATATCAAGCAGGTAATAAATAAGTAATAGTCATAGATGCGTTGGTAATTTACATAAATCTCATTAACGAGTAATTGTAAAAATACTATTAGAACGTATATTAGACAGAACGAAATAAAATCAAAAGCAGAAGTAGGACATTCAATTTTCAAAATTGAATTCAAATACTGTCACCGACTTACCGTATAACTGTTATCAGTAATTAGGCATCCAAAGCAATCTTAAAAAACTTAGGTGCATGGAACCACAAACAATGATTGAAAAAGAGTACATGGGTACTATGTAATTGTAATGTACACAATGAAAAATAGACACGTGCACTTATGTCATTCAATCAACAAGAGATAGTCAGCTTTTGCAGACAAATTTTATTCCCCTGTAATTTTTGGTACCATTCATTCCCTTTACATGTGAGCGTGTGGCAATCCTATTGCAAATTTACAATGCCACACCAAACAACATTATAACATTATTCACCGCTGTGATTTAATAATTATCATTAAGCACCAGTTAGTAGTTGCTGTGAAAGAAAGCCTTCATTTGCCTAATTCACAGCCCCACTAATCAATTATTAGCAGTACCATGAAATGAAACTGGTTTTCATATTTCTAATTCGTATATAATAATGTTGTGATATTATAAGGAAAAAAAATTGAACACAGAAAAACTATGAATAAATAAAGGGTATATTGTTTCTAGGAGATAAATTTAAACATTAAACCCATAAATAAAATAAAAAAAACGAGTGAAGGGTTGGGTTAGGTACGGTACCTCAGCTTCCGGGGCAGTGAAATAGTCTTCCCTGTTACGCCCTGCCATCTCCGTTTACCTGTTCAACAAAACTAATTGATCACCCACAAATCAAAAACCAATCTTCCAAAAGTTGGAATATTAATCAATGAAATGTAACCTTTAATATGAGTTAGTTACAGAACAAGAGAAAAGGAAAACTCAGAAAGAGAGTAGAGAATAGCAACAGGGCACTCTCCCAAACAAGGAAGGGATAGCCTTTTATAGGGCCAGTGAAATTAAACACACACAAAGTAGAAAAGAAGGCATAAAAAAGTGAGTATATTGGTAATTACCTTGTGGCAAGAGAAAGGTAGAGATGCAGGGAAGAAGAGAAAGCGAGAGAGAAAAGTAGAGACAATGAGCTTATAAGGGGATTGAGTGAGAAGGTTAGATAAGAATATGCATACGCTAAAGATGCCAAGATATGGCATTTATATGAGGGAGAGGCATAGAAAGAAGCTACCAAAACAAATAATAATAATAACAATAATATAATAATAATAAGCATTTAAATTTGGATCCACTGTATCAAACATCAAATCCTAAATAAATACCAAGGACAGATTTGATGGTTGGTTTTAGGAGTTCGTGTTTTTTTTCTAATGGCTAGTTAGCATAATTTTCAACTTTTTTAGGAATTTTTTTTTCTCTAAAGTAGAAAAACTTCTACAATATTCTTGTCTTCCATATATCCCTCAAATAAAAATCAAATATATACAGTAACATATATAAAAAGGATAAATGAATTGTTATGTTATATGATGTCACATAACAATTTTTACTCTCACAATGGAAAAGATAGAGAAGAGAGGAAAGTGGAGAGAGAAAAATTAAAGGATGGGGCCCATATTCCATTGTAAGAGTAGGAATATTTTGTTATATCATGTAACATAACAATCTATTCACCCTATACAAAATATATATAATATTAACAAGTGTTTTATTATGAGTGAAAGTACATGCTACCATAATAGAAAAAATGCGCTCCCAAGAAATTGTTTGGTATAATGTATAAAATCTGATAATATAAATTTATACTATAATGTATAATGTATATGATATTTTCAGTTGTTTGGTGTGATCATCGTATAGTATATATAAGCTTATACATAATGATCCCTTAATATATTAAAATAATGTATAACTTAATCAAGTCTAAGGGGACGAGATTAGGCCTGATAATAAATTGATGTATTAATATCGCTGACCAGTGCAATTATCAAGAATTAATATATTAAAATAAAAAATATTTTTTAATATATTAATTTTTAAAATATTGGAGATTTTATTTTTATAAAAATTAATATATTTTTGGATACTTTTGATCAATAAATTTCTATAAAAGTTAATATCATATAACATATTTGGAAGAATTATATAAATTTTTTATTAGAGGATTATCACAAATATTTATTTTTATCCTATCTAATATTATACATTGCATTACCAAATACTAAATAATATTATCTAATACAATACATTATCTTATACAATTTTATACCAAACATTAGATAATATTAAAATTTAACCAAATTTATTTACCAAAAAAAAAAAAAAAAACCAAATTTTATATAATCATGCCTTATACTATCGAATTTTATAATGTCGGACTTTATCTTACACTATATAACAAACATGCCCCTGAAAAGGGCCAATGACAATTAAATTTGGCCAGATTCAATTAAATTATTATTCTTCTGTTTTATTTTTAAAATTCGAAGGGACAAGGAGAGCTATGTTGCCATTGGATGTCATAGTTTAAGACGTTAGAATATCAGCGTCAATTGGTCATCTCATACCTCCAACGTACAATTCTCTCACGTGCCAATCATCCACATTACCGACACTTCCCCGCCATCGAATTTACGCGATATATTAATAGGAAAAAGATTAGTTTATAAATTTTTTAAATTTTTTTTTACAAATTACACTATATTTTTTCGGGAAAACATAATGAAATTAGTGTTCCCTCAATAGAACATAATGTAGTTTATAAAAGCTTGTAAATAAAAAAATTTGTAAATATAACCTGCCCCGTATTAATATTTATCTATATCGTATTTCTTCCTCCTACCTTTTTTTTTTTGCTACTTGATATTTTTTTTCATTAAAAAAAAACACAATTTATGAAGATCCAAGCGGTTTTATCATTAATTACAAACTAATCGTATAATCATGCTGAATCGCAAATGATGTAAAAGTTATTTTCTTTTTAGTTGACAATGCTAATGTAACAAGTAACAACTGAGTTACTTGAGAGAGAGGAAGAAAAAGATATTCTGAAAATTATAAAATCAAAGTACACTACTGAAGGTTCGAAAGACTGCACCATAATCGTACCATGGTGCGCATACATGGGTTAAAAACAAAAAAAATTCGCAGCGGAAGCATAGACCATCTATACACCCCATGTATGAATGCTTTACGTTGAAACAATAGGGTTTCAGAATTACCTTTTCACTTGTAGGCGCAAAAGGATGACGCCCTCCAATGGTGATCCACACGGTTATCTCCTTCTTGCTAGCGAGAACTCTTTCTCCTTAATCCCTCCTTATCCTCGGTGGCTGGCTAGGCGCATGCAAGGAAGAGGCTACCAAGTGTTTGGATTATTTTTCTCAAGACTATAATGGTGTCTTGAGGTTAGGTGATGGTGCAACAAAAGAGAGAAGGAAAGGTTGGAGTTTTTTTTTTTCGAATTCTACACACACTTAGAGAGATGATGCATCAGGTTTTTATAAAAAAAAAAAAAAACTAATCTACCACATAAGCCCCTCCTATGATTAGGCGCACAAGTTAAAGTGATGAGAGAGACTTTTCTTGATTCTCTCCATCTCATTATGCGCCCCACATCATTTCTCTTTAATTAGGCGCACATATCTTATATTATAAATTATATTATAAAGGAATTTCATTCTGTGGAAACCTTGCTGACGTGTCGCACTGTGGTTCAATTTCACCATTGTGTTCACACTACAACATTTAAAAAAGTTTCTTTTAATGGTAAATCGGTGAATATAATAAATACAAAAAGAATTATATTTTCAATTGAAAGGATTTGTTACTTTAAATCAATGGTCAAGATTGCTTATTCACCATTTCTAATCGTTTTTTTTAACCTTTATTCAGTTTAATTCAAATCTTTACATTTTTTGAAAAAAAAAACAGGATATTCATTGTTATTAAAACAAATGACTGTTTTATTCCATGAAATGACTGTTAAAAAATGGGATATTCATTGATTTATAACTACTTAATCACTCTTTGTCGTTATCTTAGTTTTTTAAATCTTTATTCAGTTTAATTCAAAAACTTCACATTTTTTAAAGAATACAATTCTATTTGCTCGAAAAAAAATTAATTAGTAAAAAAAAAATTATACATATCCCGACCTTTGTTCCTTATTTTCATATTTTTAAATTTGAATCTTTTATCAACCTCTTGATTCAGTGGAATCAGGTATGAGTGTTTTGTTATTAGAAAAAACTTCTGTTTTATTCCATGAAAATCTCATTTATAACTACTAAATCACTCTTTTGTCGTCATCTTTGTTTTTTAAATAATTGATGTTGATCATGTAATCTAATCGTTTTTTTAACCTTTATTCAGTTTAATTCAAATCTTTACGTTTTTTGAAAAAAAAAAGGGATATTCATTGTTATTAAAACAAATGACTGTTTTATTCCATGAAAATCTCATTTATAACTACTGAATCACTCTTTTGTCGTCATCTTTGTTTTTTAAATAATTGATGTTGATCATGTAATCTAATCATTTTTTTTAACCTTTATTCAGTTTAATTCAAATCTTTACGTTTTTTGAAAAAAAAACAGGATATTCATTGTTATTAAAACAAATGACTGTTTTATTCCATGAAATGACTGTTAAAAAAATGGGATATTCATTGATTTATAACTACTAAATCACTCTTTGTCGTTATCTTTGTTTTTTAAATCTTTATTCAGTTTAATTCAAAAACTTCACATTTTTTAAAGAATACAATTCTATTTACTCGAAAAAAATTAATTAGTAAAAAAAAAATTATACATATCCCGACCTTTGTTCCTTATTTTCAGATTTTTAAATTTGAATCTTTTATTAACCTCTTGATTCAGTGGAATCAGGAATGAGTGTTTTGTTATTAGAAAAAACTTCTGTTTTATTCCATGAAAATCTCATTTATAACTACTGAATCACTCTTTTGTCGTCATCTTTGTTTTTTAAATAATTGATGGTTATCATGTAATCTAATAGTTTTTTTTAACCTTTATTGAGTTTAATTCAAATCTTTACGTTTTTTGAAAAAAAAGGGATATTCATTGTTATTAAAACAAATGACTGTTTTATTCCATGAAAATCTCATTTATAACTACTGAATCACTCTTTTGTCGTTATCTTTGTTTTTTAAATCTTTATTCAGTTTAATTCAAATACTTCACATTTTTTAAAGAAGACAATTCAAAAACTATAAATCACTCTCATTTATACAATTCCTGATACGCATTATTCTTCAACGTCGGTGATTGCTTCTCTGTTTTTTCTTCTTACACAAAATATGAGTTCAAAATATGATTTTCTAAAGGATGTTAATCCTGCCAAGGAGGACTGGAGGATTAAGGTGAAGGTGGTTCGGACTTGGAAAGTTCCTAACTTTCAGCGTAAAAATTTGGAGGACAATCTTGAAATGGTTTTTATTGGATGAACAGGTTGTGTTCTGTGTTTTAAAAATCTTCCATCTTTGTTTTGATCATTTTAGTTAACGTTGTTGACTTAAGTTGGCTCGATTCTTTTGTAGGGTGGTAGGATCCACGCCACTGTCAAAGGTACCTTGCAGGTGCAGAATAAAATCAACGAAGGATAGTGCTATTTTATAAAAAAAATTGGAGTTGGATTCAATAGCGATGTGTTTAGGCCAACCAAGCATCAATATCGTTTGTCTTTCAACTTAAGGACTGATGTTAAATCGATTGTTGTTTCTGATATTTGTGCGAGTGATTTTGTTTTTGTTGATTATAACATCATTGACAAAGAAACGACTGACTCCCCTTATTTAGTCGGTAATAGATTCTTCCTCACTGTTATCGTTTTTTTAATTATTGCGGGTTTTATTTTTTTCCCATACTCTTTGCTGCCTTTTTTTAATTTTTAAACGTCATTGGTTTATTCTGTATCATGACTATTTCTTTATTTTTAAACTCTTTGCGGTCATAGTTTGTGTTTTTAATGTTTTGTCACGAGTAATCTTATTCTGTATCATTATTTTTTTCATTAACTGTGTTTTTTATGTTTCTGTATTCGTTTTTTATTATTGCATAATTTTTTTCACAAACTCTTTGCTGCATTTTTTTTTTGTAGACGTCATTGGTTTAATCTCAGGAATTGGGAAAGTTTGTGATCGTATGGTTTCTGGTAGGAAGACAAAAATGGTGGTGTT